GTCCTCTCTGCGGTGCTTGCTCTGCAACTGACAGAAGCCTTGGAGTCACTCCTCGATGCCATTGGCACTCGGGTACTGTCTATGGTGGATCAGTGCAGGCGTAGTACATTGATACGTGTGCTGCAGTGTCACGCCGCCTTTGGCCTTCGGGACGATGTTCTCGTATTGCGTCTCCTTACGACATTGGAGGAACAGTGCAGTCGTGAAATACGACTAGACATATCACAAGTCCTTACTCTGCTTCAGGCAACAGTTGACTTGGATTTTCCTATTCCTTCAAAGCTGGCTGTCAACTGCTTTGTTTGTTTGGAGCATCACGTTGATCGCATGACGATGGCCCAATTGGGTCATGCCGCACGTCTGGCGGTGGAGGTGGAAATGGGGTATACTGCATCTGTGCATGCTGTGGCAATGCGAGCGTTGGAGCATCGGGAAGCACTACGGACCAATGCAACGTTTCGTGAATCAGTGGAGCTACTTTGTGATGAGTTCAGTGTGGAAATACCGTGGCATATGAGGCCCACTGTGCTGCGCAAGCGTTACCAGGAAGAGAGACTGAACGATTACATTAACAAGCGGCGATTAGCCTCATCAAATGGATTGAACTAAACACATTTGTATATATTTTGGGTATTGAGGCGTGGTGTGCATCCAATTTTGCGGGGGTTGACGTACAACGTGATGCCGCGGAACAATTGATAGGTGGAATGGAAATGGTGGGAGTGTCTTCCGCGTTTTTTATTTTGGCGTAAACACAGACGTCGGATCTGATCCGGAATTATCTTCACCTTTTTTTTTTTGTGTGTGTTTTCTTCTTCCTTGGTTAAATGTGGCTCTTGTGTCGTCATTGAAAGTTATGCCATCAGGAACTGATAACACTGTAGAGGAGGGCACTCTGAGTGAGGAGTGCATTCTGCGTGCCTCGCGTCAGTACGACGTGGAGATGGTGTTTCAGATCTCACTTTGTTCACGAGGTCTCCGGTCGTTGGGTGATGGTTTTGCTTGTTGCCTTGCGCTGGTGCGTGTTGATGTCTCGCGAAACCGCCTCACTAGTCTTGAAGGGATTGCCCTGCTTGCTGGCTCGCTGAGGTACATAAACGCTTCGGAGAATGAAGTGGAAGATCTGGCAGGCGTTGACCGCTGCTCGCTTCTGGAGGAGGTCCGTTTGGAAGGAAACCAGCTGAGCAACGAGATGGCAATTGTGCCTTTGACGCAGCTTTCAAACCTCCGTTCTCTTTTTCTGCAGCGGGAGATGCCTCTCTCTGGCGACACGCACGAAACGCTTCTCCTCGACAACCCCATTTGCCGCGATAAGGGGGCGTATGATAAAATCCTTCAGCGGCATTTCGCTTCTGTCCTCTGCGTCGATGGTCGTTGCTTTCGTCACCCTTTGCCGAGGGAAGTTGTGGCTGAGACTGCGGTGTTGCCATCATCGACTCCGCCACCCTCAGGAACTGCATTGGATAAAAAAATAGACACGGAAGATGATTTGGGCGAGCGTATCTTCGCCAACGCCGTGGCGGAGTGTCGCGCCGCGTGTCGAAAGGCGTTGATTTAATTTAAAAAAAAAGGATGGAAACACGCCGGTGGATGCGAAATGAGGGCAAAAAAAAAAAAAAAAAGGATGAAACCCCGCAGATTCCTCGTGAGTCCTGTTACCCATTCTTTATTGAATATCCTGTTGTTGTTGTTGTTGGTTCTTTTTGTGCGACACCAGCAGGAGGCTTTGAGCCTTTTTTTTTTTTTTTTTGCGGTGCTGCTTTTTGTTGCGTTTTTAAATTTTTTTTTTCTTTTCTTTTCTTTCCCCCCTAATTTGCTGCGGCCTCATCCCACAGAAAGGTGGGTGGCGCACCATGACCGGCAGCGGTAGCGGCGATGCGGAAGAACCGGGGACGGACGGCCGCATTGCGCTGGGCGATCACGTCATCATCACCGGCGGCGGTGTGAAACGAATGGCGTTGGTGCAGGCGGGCAACAAATTGCGCCTCGGCAGCTCGGGGGTGGTGCAACTCGAGAAACTCGTCGGCCTGCGATTTGGCGAGGTGCTCCGGTACGACCCCAAAGACCGCGTGCTTCTCCCAACGAATGCGTATCCCGACCTTGACATCACGAGCCTGCAGCAGCGTCTCGAAGACGCACGTGATAATCGACACCTTGTGGACGATAACCGAAATCAAATTCTTTCAAACGTCGAGATTGCTTCGTTGCGTCAAGAAAAGGGTGTTGACGCATTCTTGACCACCCTCGTGCAGAAGAGCACGACGTTTCACACGAAGACGGCATACTCGCAAGAGAAGTATCTTCGAAAAAAAAAGAAGCGTTACGGTACATTATACAAGGTGGAACGCGTGACACCTGACGCCGCCGCAGAGATTTATCTCCCGACAATCAACCCATCGGATGTGGAGCCGGAGGAAACACGGTCAATGCGGCTTCGCGCTGACACTTTGGCGCTTATTTTGCACCACAGTGATGTGCATAGTGGTAGTCGTGTTCTCGTGTACGAAAAAACAAATGGCCACTTGGCAGCAGCACTGCTCACACGCCTTGGAAACGACGGTGTAATAATGCAAGTGATGGATAAGGTTGCACAGCCCAACGTGTTTCTGGCGCAGGCGATGGGCCTCACTCGCGTGCGGGAGCTTTGGAAAGCCATCCCTCGAAATGATGCTTTTCTTTTTGGCAGGGAAGGTACAGAGGAGGAACAGAATCCGGGAGACGAGAAGAAGAAAACAGGCACTGGGAAAAACAACACCAATAAAGGCAACAAGAAAAAAGAAAATGGTGATATTGAAGGTCCATCGCAGTGGATGCGTGGGATTGACGCACGGCGCATGTTGAAGGAAAGGCCGGCCGACTCACTCATTATTGTGAACGACACAGAATCCGAGAGCTTAATTAATGAACTGTTGCCGTTTATTGCGCTGGGCGGCCACATTGTGGTGTACAGCCAATTTCTGGAGGACTTGTCTGGCGCTTTTGCGAGGCTGTGGAGGGACTGTGTGAACATTTGTGTTTCCGAGACATGGTACCGTCACCATCAAATCCTTCCAAACCGTACACATCCGACAGTAAACATGAGTACCGCAGGCGGATATTTGTTAACGGCGATCAAGACGGAGACGAACGGCATCCCACGGCCACGCCTGGAGGATGTCTCAAAAGCATTTCTGCTGGAGCAGGCGAAGAGTACCGAGACGGATGGAAAAATGTCGTTTAAACGGCCGAGAGAAGAGGGTGATGAACGACGGGAGCAGGAGTGATATTAATTGTTACAGCCTGGGTTCCAGGTGTAGCAGATGTCGAGTAAACCTACGCACTTCATCATTTAACACGTGACCAACTCAAAGCAGGACGCCTTTGGGAGTGGTGTTGCACGTGTGCCATCCTCCCGCCTGGATGAATCAATAATAATAATAATAATAATAGGGATTTTATGAAGATTTATGGTTGTCATTTTTCTTTTCTTTTTTTTCTTTCTTTCTTTTCTTCTCCTACGGTGGCATTTGAAGAGAGCTATACACACAACCCTAAATCCGCGCACAGAACAAACTTGCTGAAAATAATTGCATATAAATCTTTTGCAAAATAAAGGAAGAATTATGATCTACGACGTCAATTCTCCGCAGTATCAGCAGTTCCTTAGGTCAAGCGGCCGCCGTCGCGAGGACTACACAAGAGGTGGAAAGAATGGTCCCGTGGTGAACAAGAAGATCACAAAGGCAGGAGGCGCAGCCAGCACTGGACTGTAGACAAGAGAAACTTGCCTCATAAGAGGTGCTACTCCAGCGCATGAGTAAAATGAGAAAAAGTGAAATTAATCCTATTGGCTGTAAGGGTCTACGACGACGGAGACGACTTCTTTTTTTTTTTTTTTTTTTTTTCTTACGGAACTCTCTTTTTTAATGCTTTTATGATTTAGCTAAACTAGTGAAGAAAAGAATGAAGAATTGAAATCGACTTTGTTTAGACGGCAGTCTTGGTTAAAAAAATCTTAACACTTTCTATCCGCGTATCTACATGTGTGAGTGGGAAAGACATGTGAGAAGTACCTGCTTTTCCTCGGTGTACGCTGCGCCTTTGCTTGTTGGCGTGTCGAACACTCTTTTTTTTTTTTTTTTTTTTGCTTTTTTTCTTTAACGCGTCGGTGAAGAGAGAGAAACATTTGTGATGAAACGCTTTTTCAATCGCTTCTATCTTGACACTGGCATTATTGCTGACCCCAGTCAACGTAGCCTCGCTAGTCGAGTAAGCGCTTTTCTGGTGCAGGGAGCTGTGGCCTTTTCGTTGCTTGGCACGATCGGTGTCGATACCTCGCCTCTTATCGCTGCTGCGGGTGTAACAGGGGCCACAATTGGATTTGCTTGCAAGGACTTTGGTACCAACTTTGTCGCGAGCATTGTGCTGAGCGGTCAACAGTCAATTCGAACAGGGAATCTGGTTTGCATTGGGACTGGCCTTAATGTTGTCAAAGGGAAGGTGGTGGACTGGGACACGCGGTATTTGTACCTGCGCAGCTCGGAGGGCCACCTGCTGCATGTCCCCAACAACATGGTCCTCAACTCCGTAGTGACATGGGAACAAGAAAAGAAGCAGAACCCACATGAAACAGATCTCCCTAAACAAGACGTTGTCAAGACACCTGGAGACAACGCAACCAAGCAGTGAGGGAGTGACCTTTACTTTTCTGGAGTAAGGAATGAGGAATAAGAATGTGTTTGAGAACGTCTTGTGTTTCACCATGTCTCGCTGGGTTTTCTGAACTCCGAAGGATTTGGTTGACTTTGTGGATTCTCCGAGGATGATTACCATTGCTCTTTTTCTCCTGATATGTATTTCTATATATCGACAGCGGCCACGAAGAAAGGAAAAGTTGCAGTGCATTGTGTGTCCCAGAGCACAAAAACAAATAAATAAAAGAAGAATTGTTTTGGCGCCTTTTTTCTTTAGCTGGAGTGGCCAAGAAGGTCAGTCACACATGCACACACACTTTCTCTCTCTCTCTCTCTCTCCCTCCTTTGGTTGTTTCCCTTTTAGCCGACAGCGGCAGCAACAACCCCAGGGAGGGACAAATTAAATATGGCGTCACTTTCATTAAGGCAAGTCGGTGTACTTAAACATGCGGAAGCGGTGTCGCAATCCTTCCCGTTATGTGTCACATATGTTGAGCTGATGAAAGGTGCATACCTTTTCGCTTCGGTGAATGCTGCGAAAAACAGGTGTACTGTGGAGTTTATTTTGGACACCACTAATAATGATACTAATGCTGCGGCTGCGGATTCCACTTTTACCACCAACACCGTCATGATGGATGCCAAATCTCATTCTTCAGCAGCAAGTGAGGTGGTGGAACATGAAACGTTACTTGAAAATCTTCAAAGCAGCTTTCGAATACCAAAGTTCTTTCAAGTGCTGGAAGAAGAGGGAATGATTACGGCGATTGAGCTTGCTTGTGATTACCGAAAGGTAGAAGGCTCTAGAGAAGTCTTACCTAAAAAGAAACGCGCGTTGGAATCTATTTATGTGCATTTGTTTATTGGAACATTCAACGGGACAATCTTTATTTGCAATGCGCTCCGTGGGACAATCATGGCGCTGACGCAGTTTCAGTACCATGGTGTCTTTACACACAGTCGGCTTGAAAAGTCCCAAGAAGATGAGACACCACCGACGTGTCGGAATGAATCAGTCGTTCGTTTCGTTTTGCATGGCACTGGGCCAGATGTACGCTTCAATGCAAACATCGCTCAAAGTACCGCTTCTCTGCCGATATGGACTCTCCACGCGGTGTGCGTCGTCCACAGTAGGGGAAGGGCCGTATTACTAACTCGAAATGTCCTTGACATCTTCCTTTCTGTGGCAGAGCAACGTCTTGATGGAAAACGGCCATACTTTCTCTTGGAGTGGTCGCCTGATAGCAGTATCAGCTCATTTCCTTCTGCTGGACCAGCTGCTCATTTTGCCTCTTGCATAGAATCCGTCTTTATCGTCTCAGAGGAAGAGCGGTACTCTGCCGTGGAGTTGCGGACACAACCGATCACGTCGAATAGTCCTATGGGACGCAATATTCGTGATGCAGCCTTCTTTTTTAGCAACCTTTCGGACACGGCGGCGATTCTCCGCAATGGCCCACAGGCCATGGAATCTCTTATTTTGTGTGGTGAGGCTCCAGCACTTTCCATGTACACCTTTGAAAGTACACGTGCCGCCTTTTCTGCACGGAAAACTGTAAGAGCTGTGGTCTCGGTCCTGGGTGGAATGGCGCGGAGAATATGGCAAAGGTCCTCAGAAAATGAAGATAGGGGTGCAATGAAACCGCAACGTTTAGCCAAGCGACATCAACAAGCGAAGGATGCTTTTTTTGAGGCTGACATAGTGTTTAATGTTGTCCAGGTGGACCCCACCTTTCAATGGGCTGCTTGTTACAGTGAGAGTTCTGGACGTATTTATTTGTATGACTTGATGGGCGGTGCCCTCTGGCGGGTGATGAAGGGTTGCCGTTCTGCCAAATTTCAATGGTGCGTAGCTACCATTGCTGGAAAACGTATGTTATTGCTTGTTGTGCACCTATTACTTCGTTATGCTGTGGAGGTGTACTCTATACGTTTGGGAGAACGCCTGGCAGCTCGCCACGTTCCTCAGGGATCCATTCTGCTTCGTCCAGAATCCGTCTCCTCTGCATTGTCTATCCTCCTACTAACGCCCTCCAGAGAAGTCATACGGGTACATGTGGAGCTGAACGCGAAGAAGGAAGAAGAAATTCCTTCTTCATTTTTATTTGCTGATCCTTCTGCTTTAATGAATGAGGGAGAAAGTTCTTTTAAGACGTTGCGGGAAAAAGGGTACCAAATAATGCCGCGAGATATTTTTATATCAGCATTGCGTTTGCCGCTTCCTACTCCAGTGACAGACGAGAGGCTTTTCTCCGCCTACCGATTGCAGATGAAGAAATTGGAGAATAGCGTAAAGAGTAAATTTTCGCCTGGGGTATCTGATGAACGTTGTTTCCCTATAGGTATGGATACGATAGTGGAGAATGTTCCACGTAACATTACCGCGGCCCAATGTCTGAATTATTTGGAACTGCGACTTGCTTGTGTGACAAATTATCATCGGGCAATGATGTTGAGAGGGTTAAATGATGAAATGCGGCAGCCGGGCATGAAGTCGTCAAATTTGCCAAATAACGAGGCTCTCTTTTCGGAGGAGGGGGAATCGCATCCATCTCTTTTACAGGCAGTGAGTGCAGCTTCGGAGATGCTCTCCAGTGGCGGTTTTCCAGAGTTTGTGCATTTCTTGGAGGATATTCTTCCCTCTATGCAACGGCTATTGGCCATGCATAAGGACGCTCCACCAGAAACTAATTTTACACAAATTTCTTCAATTCCTTTGGATGTCTTTTTAAAACATTTTTATTGTGGAGGGTATAAGTTGGAATTTTTGCGTGACAAGATGTGGGCTTTTGAAAATGCAAGCGATGCAGAGGAGGATATATGGGCTGAGATTGGGGCCGTATTTTACAGCTCTGCTGGCCGTGGCCTCGGCTCTTTATTGCAGCAGTTGGAGGTCTTTAGTGCATTGGGTTTTCAAACTGTGGATGTAGCGGTGATTTCCCTGTCTTGGCTATGTTGTTCTTTTGCCAAGCGGCCTACGTTGGCTTCGTTAGGGTCATTATCAGATCTTGTTTTTTTGTTGAAAACGTGTAATGACGCGGCATTTCTTACGGGTGTGGAACACGTTCCATGTTTTACAACGGGAATTTCTGGTACGAACCATGGGGGAAATGAAGCATGCGTACTATTGCTGATTCTGTGCATGATCATACGTCAACACGAAAAGCCTGTCGGGCATGCTTATTATACTCGTTATTTGCGTTTATTGCGTCAATTGTTGGCGTTTCGAGCGATGCTTCATTGCTGGAAGAGTCAACTTCAAGCATCCATCACGGATCCGGGAAAAAAGTGTTATCAAAGAATACGCATTTGTGGTTTGCTTCCATGCGAGGGGGGTGATACATTGAGTGCGTATTGCTTCGGAATTTTCCCCACCTCTGTGGCTCGGTTTCTGTGTGAGAATATCATGGGGAGAGACGAAATGAAGAGGGCCCTGGGTGGGGTAGACATGGTTGAATTATTAAAATTAATTTCTATTAGGAAAGAAACGTTTGAATTGAATGTAGGGACTTCATGGTATAAGGAACGAACATGGAGTCATGCTGTCTTTTCAGAGCGCGTGTTGAAACCAATTCTATCTGTCACTGCAGCTCTCATGCCCCAATCGCCTCAAGAACGGCCATGGATTCACACAGCAACGCCACAAGAGGTGGCAGGATTAGGTTTGATCCTTGTGGTAGAGTTGGTCCTCCTTGAGTGGGAATTGGAACCTCTTCGTGAGGAGCCTCTGGCATTCATTCAGAAGAATTTGGCCCCAGATGCCAACCTCTTTGAGGGGAGTGACGATCTTGTGAAGAGCCTGGCGCGGCGTCCAAAGGGAAGTCGTTCCACACGTGATTACTTTAACAGTTGTCACGAACTTTTAAAACTGGCCCAAGGCGTTTTGGCTGACATTGTGGGGGATGCGAGTAACTTAGAGAGTTGTGAGAAGGTCGTTGAGGCGTGGTCTTCATTGCTGTCTTATGACAACAACGCACTTTTTGCACATGTGCCTCTTCTCATGCGGCAACAGCTTGAACCTCTCATAAAGTTGTTTCGTACCAGTCCCGAGCCGTTAGTACGACGTATTCGTGAGGTCTCCTCTTTTCTGGACACCATTATGTTTTTTGCCTTCACGGAGGTCGGCACCCAACTTTCTTCCATCGCCTCACCATCCGCGTCTCTGTCAGTTCCGTGGGACTCCATGTTTGACGCGAAGGAGAGAATGCTGCGCCTGCGCCCGGATGGCGACTTTACGGAGTTTCCGGAGAGGCAACAGATGGAGACTAAAATGCAAATGCGTAGCTCATTCCTAAAAGAGTTTGCCTTTATGAATTATAGGAGCACGTATACAGACGGATCTGGTGAACGTGTTGCACAATTGGGAGAAGCATTGGGATTAAATCGTATTGTTGGCGATATATCCCAACTTATTCTGTTTGATGCTGCGGCGCGTCATTTATGTTCAAATACAGAGTTGCATCGTCTACGGAACGTTGTAGCAAGTCGCCATTTGGCTGCTCGCATAGCTGCAGCAGACTTTCGGATTATTGTCGCCAGTTGCTTGAAGTACTACAACGAATTGAAAAGAGGCATTCCAAAAGAAAATCGATTGGAGATTCAAAGGGTCGCACTGAAAATCAAGAGCATGGATAGTGCAATGACGGAGGAGTGTCGCTCTTGGATACAGATGGGAGATGCAAAAAAGGGTCTTGAAACGAGAATGGGAGAGGAAGTGACGTCAAGGTCGCCTCTTGAACATGAAATAGTCGCGTGCCCGAGTTGGTACACTTTGAATGATATTCGCGCCGTTGAACGTAGGGTGAAGGAGCGACTACAACAACCGCGAAGCCCCGAAGCATTCTCTGATTTCAACGCAGTTCTTTTCACTTTGGCATGTGTTGCTGCGGAGGGGAAAACTGAGTTGGAGGGAGTCGCACGTCAAGTCGCCGCAGAACTGCCCGCGGTTTCAAGCCGCCTTGCCAATTTGCTCTGACGCAATCAATGAAGATTCCCTTTCCTCCACCAAATGCATATATATATATATATATATATACGCACCAAGAAAAGAATCTTATGTTTTATTTTTTGAGTTTCTTGTGATTTTTCTTTTCTGTCTTTTTTTATTATTGGCTTGCATTCACTTTCTTTTCTGTTTTTTTTTTTTTTTTTCCATTTCCGTGCGGGTGTGCGCCTGCCCGAGATCTTGGTTTTAGAAACGGAAATGGTGGAGATTTGCTCGGCCGGAAAGGCAGAGGATCGTGAAGAATGTATCGGGATGCACTTTTTTCTCACGGACGCTATTCTCGCGAAAAAGGGCATGAACTTGGGTTTTAGGCGACCACTGGTGTCCCTGAAAACGTTGTACTCGGACTTTGTGGTGCGGGAGTTGTCTCCGTTGTACAACAACGGTGAGCCGCTTGTGCTGGAGCAACTGCCAACGGTCGAGCGATTGGACAGCAAAGTGAAGGCTGTGAAACGACCACGAGAGGAGGAGGAGGCGATGGCTACAGCGTTGGATGCTCAACCGAACTTGTTACTGGAGCATGTACAGGCGCAATTTTCATCGCTACTGGGTCCGGAGGATTTGTCGTCTCTTCTGGAAGCTTTGCGTGCGGGTGCTGATCGGGTGATGCTTCGAGATTCTTCACTGACGAAGGCGCAGCGCACACGGGTGCATGAAGCGGTAAAGAACACACTTGGACCGTCGTATTTCAGTCGCACTGTGGACGGGTCCCTTGTGATTGAAAAGTCAACATCAGTGACAAGAAGGGAGGAAATGCGTCGCTCAAACCCACTGCACCTACAAAAGTTCTTGCACTTCACGCTATACAAGGAAAACATGGACAGCAATCGTGCCCTGCGTGCAATTGCCGGACATCTTTGTTTGCCGGTGCGACAACTCCTTTTCAGTGGAACAAAAGACAAAAGGGCGGTGACTCTCCAGCGCGTTGCGGTTCGGGGCCTTTCGTGCGAGCGGCTCTCTGAAATCAATGATCGGTCATTTGGTCCGGATTGTAAACTGAAGGTGTGTGGTTTTCAGGAGGCAGAGACTGGACTGCGCCTTGGTGATACGATGGGCAATCATTTTCTTATTGCCCTCCGTCTTTTACCAGATAGTACAGAGCCTTCACCTGACATGCTGAAGGTCATTCAAGAAGTTATTGGCTCTGTTGGTGTGGTGAACTACTACGGGCCTCAGCGCTTTGGCACGACGGAAGTGTTAACAAGTGATGTTGGCATCAAATTGCTTTCTGGAGAGTTTGAACAAGCACTTCGCATGATATTTCATTCTAAAGCGATTGTTGAACCGAATCTCCTTCCCTCGAAGGAGGCTGTGGAGCGACGGTCCTTTGATGAGGCGCTAAAGCTTCTTCCACGCTACTGTTTTCAGGAGCGTGACATTCTGAAGCATTTGGTAAAATGCCCCAACGATTTTTTGGGCGCGTTGCACATG